AGACGCTGCGCGCGCTGACAGCGAGCGTGCCGATGCGCAAGAACAACAAGAACTTGGTCGACGAGAAGAAGCTTCAGGGCCAGGAGGGCTGTACAAAGAACTTGCTGCGCATGCTGCTGTCACAGCTTCGCCTGGCGCAGGAGGATGAGGAGACACTTCCTGGCTTGCAGCTCCTCTTTCCCAAGAAGCAGTCCCTCCCCGCGCCTGCTGCTGTCCAGCAGCTGGAGGACAGGGCGCCCGGCGCAACGTCGCTGCCGGCTCTGCAGTTGGAGGTCGCCGCGGAGAAGGCCTCCGACGGGAAGAGCATGGACTCTATGCGCACAGTGTCCCCATGTTCCTTGCGTTCGTCTTCTTTCGGTTCCACCGTTTCTTCAGCTTCCCTCGAGAAGGCTCTGCACTTCGCTGCGCCTGTGGAGGTTCCCAAGCCGGACTCCGGCCTCATCTCCGCGGCCGAGCAGTTGCGTGTGGAGATGGGAGGGCAGCCTGCTTTGACGACGCAGCCCACTCGCCGAGTTCGGCGTAAGACTGCTGCTGCCCCCGCGCCGGACGCAAGTCCGGAAGCTCAGGCGGAGACCCTGTCGCTACCTGCTCAGGAACCCCTCTCGAAGAAGACGAAGAACAGCAAGCTCCCAGGCAGCAAGCAGCTCAAGAAGACGGCGAAGAAGCACAAGGCACGCCCCTTGCTCCAGAAGCTTCTATCTTGAAACGTGTCGACTTCTGCATGTAGGGTTTACGATAGGGTTCCGGGTTTAGGGTTGAGGGTTGAGGGTTTCTAGGGTTTAGGGTTTACGGTTGAGGGTTTAGGGTTTACGGTTTGATTAGGGTTTGGGGTTTACGTTTCGGGTTTAGGGTCCTGCGCTTGCGATTCTGCATTGCTCTGCAGGCGCTGACCAAGCCTGCCAATGCCAAGCCGGGCTCGAAGAAGGAGGCCCAGTTCCGGCAGCGGTTGGGACTGCCCCTCGAGGTCCAGGAGACCTTTGCTTCTGGCTGTTCCAGGTGCCGGCACAGGCAGTACTGCAGCGACTCCTGCTGGCGCCGCCGGGGGTACCTGCTGTAAGTGAGGCCCTCGTGCACCGGGAAACTCAGGCAGCCACTCGCCAGCGTTTCCATCGAAGCGCTCGCAAGTCCAGCGCATGTTACTTTCACCGGCCTGAAGTTTCCGCACTTATGTGTGGCCTTGCACGTAATTTGTCTCCATAGCCTCGCAGCCGACACAGGACATTTGCCGACAGAACATGCAGGTGTGTGTGTGTGTGTGCTGCGTCGCTGCATGACTGCAGGCAAGTGTCTGGCGGCTGCAGTCGCTGCACGACTGCGCGGGGCTGGCGGCTGCAGTCGCTATAGGTCGGGCGCTGCTTTACAGGGTCTAGGGTCTATATGTACGGTTACGGGTTTAGGGTTTAGGGTGCAGGGTCTAGCTTACTGGGTTCATAGGCTTGAGGCTTTGGGGTTTGGGGCTCAGGGTTTATAGGGTTGCTGAGGATAAAGGGTTTTACGGTTGACGCTTACATACAGTTTACGGTTAGGGTTCAAGGTTCACGGTTTAAAGGGTCTAGGGCTTCAAGGAGCCCGGGTTTCGGGTCTATAGTTCTCGGGTTTCTGGTTCACCTGGGCGCACTTGGGCGCCGCTAGGCGCCGCTGGGCGCCGCGTGCAACGCGTTCGAGAAACACAGGACGCTGGAGGCTGGCCGACGCTCCCGCTCGAGGCCTGTCCTCTTGGGCGCCGCTGGGCGCCGTTGGGCGCCGTGGGCGCCACGCGAAAAACTGACCTGGCAGATGGCCCTGGGCGCCCTTGGGCGCCGCGTGGGCGCCACTGAAAATTTAGCTCTGCCGCAGCAAGATTCCCCGCATGCATCAGACTTCTCTTGTGTTGCTTCTTCACGCTCCATGCTGCTACACTCCTCAGCCAGTTCGAGCCTTTCCTAGCCTCATTTCCCTGCTGCTCTCTCTCTTCTGTCTTCTTGCCATGTCGGAGACCGCGCCAGTGACGGAACTCTTCGCTTGCACGCGCTGCGGCCAGAGGAAGTCCGAGGACCAGTGCACCCGCAAGAACGCGCTCTCGCAGTCTCGCACGTGCAAGGACTGTCACAGCGCGGCCTGTTACTTGCAGCGACTCTCTTTGCCTCAGTCTTTGCAGCAGCTGAGCCACGAGCAGAAACTCGACTTCTTCAAGAACTCCGGCTCCCTCAAGGACGACAAGGGACGCATTGCGCTTTCCAAGGTCAAGGAGTGCCTGACCAAGGTCCTTCGCAGCAAGTACGAGGCCGAGTTTCGCGACCAGTGGCAGGGAAGCTTCCTCCCGCTCACTGCCTGGGCTACTCAGGGCTTCGACACCGAGCGAATCGAGCGCCTGGCAGGGGAGGAGGACAGAGAGGAACACCCGGCCCCTGGCTTCAACAGCTTTTCTGGACTGCCCTAAATCTTCTAAACCTTGACCCCTTAACTCTAAACCTGCAGTCTAAACCCCAATCCCCAAACCCTCTTTTAAACCCTACACCCTGAACCCTATAAACCCTGAACCCTGACGAAACCCTATTTACCCTATATATACACCCATGTTGCTGGGCGGCTGCAGCCGCTGCACGCTGACATGGGAATCTCTAGTTCATTTTGTGCGAGTCTATTCTCTGCACGCAGGTCTTGGGAACCACTTTCCGCGTCAACTTGCACTCCGTCAGTAACGCAAAGATCCTGGCCAAGTGTACAGAGGAGATCATGCAGGTGAAGCACAAGCCCCGACGAGCCAAGGCCTTGACGGCCGAGGCCTTGCAAGCGGACGCGACCGGTGCGGCAGAGGTCCAGGCCGAGCTTGAAGCTTTGGCTGACTTGTCGGAAGAAGAGCAGCCGGACGCGGACGCGGCTGACGGGAAGCGCCAGACCAAAGAGCAGAGGAAGCAGGAGAGGAAGCAGAAGCGAGAGGCGGAAGCTGCGCGGGTGAAGCAGAACAAGCAGGACGCCGCTGTAGCTGCAAAGGTTCTGAGGCGCCTCAACGCAGCCTTGCCAAACGTGACGAAGAAGGTGGCGACTGTCAAGGCGGACCCCGCCAGGGACGTGCTGGCGCAGTGTCTCTCTGAGGGCCTGTCCCGTTTGCAGGCCTGGCGCATTGAGGCCGAGAAGCTGGCCGTCAAGTACGCGAAGGACAACAAGGCCCAGCTGCCCGCCCTCAGCTTCACGGACCTTAAGTGCCGGGAGGAGCTCGCGGACCTGCAGCAGCAGTTGCGGGACTCCAGCGCTGCGCCGAAGGCCAAGGCTAGGGGCACGAAGCGCCCGCGCGTGGCAGACGAGGCAGAGCTGCCGGCTCTCGAGATCCCGGAGGCGGCGCTTGAGAAAGCTGACGCCTGAGCTTTCTGCTCCTCTTCTCATCTTTGAGCCTACAGGCTTTAATTCGTCCTGCGGCAGGGCGCGCGTGAGAGTCACACCCCATCGTGATAGTGCCTGCGCGTCTATGCTCTGCAAGACGGGAACACGAAGCAGACGACCAGAAGCCCCCGCTTTCCAAACGTGTCTGCGGTCTTGGCGGACACCGCCGCCCAGCATGAATTTTCCATGGTCTGGCGGCTGCGGCCGCTCCGCGTGGTTAGGGCGGCTGCTGCCGCTGTGCATGCTCGCGGTTGCCTTGCAAGGTTTGCTCGGGCGGCTGCTGCCGCTCTGCATATGCTCGCTTTCGAGATCATGCATGTCAGGCGGCTGCTGCCGCTCTGCACACCTGATGAGTTTCCGGCGGCTGCTGCCGCTCTGCGCGCTGGCCTGCAGCCGTGCAGTGCTGGCGGCTGCTGCCGCTCTGCTGTGACCTGCGCCGATGCAGCATTCACACGGCCATGCATTCTGGAGTCGTTTGGGCTGCTGTAGTCACGTGACGCCTCCCCACTCTGCCATGAAGCTTCCTCGCGGCGTCAAGACTGACATCAACGACGCCCGCACGACCAGAGTGTACCTAGGTCATGGCGCTGCTGCTGGGGAGGCTGCTGCCTCTGTACACTGGACTTCCGTGTTTGTACATCGACATAGTACATGCGTAGCAGACTCGCTGCAGGTCATGATCGTTTCCGACTTGCTTGCCGTCTTTGCGCAGCAGTCCGTGTACATTCCACCCAGCTTCTTGACTTCACGATTCAGGTTCCTCTTGCTCTTGACATGACACCCATGCAGCAGCCCAGGTCAGCCTCGGCCAGACGACTCCCCGCTTAGCGTCTTGCGCAGCCGTCATGTGCACTGCACGCAGCAGCCAGCTCCGAAGGCCTTGGACCTGGACAATGCACTGCAGCTGCCGGAGGAGTCGCCTTCCAGGAGCCGCTCGCCAGAGGAAGCAGGCGCAGAAGGTGCTGACGCTTCCGCCCGGACAGACGCGGCAGGAGTGATGAAGGAGGACGTTCAGTGCGCGGCTGCTGCGCAGGTCTCACAACGGGACAAGACAATGAAACGGGCATCCAGCAGCAGTGGCGCCGTGCTCCCGTTGCCGCCGACCGTCCCTAAGCGACGACGTTGCAACGGAGCATGAGGACGTCCTGCGTGGGTCTAATTCGTCTGTATATACCTGCTGCGGTCTGCCAGTATAGACGCGTTTCCTAACGCGTCCCTGCTCGTCCGCCAAGCTAAACCATCCCGGTTGTGTCGCATGCCTGACAGCTTCCCGGCGGCTGCTGCCGCATGCTGCATCGCTTCAGAGCTTGCTGCAGGCGGCTGCGGCCGCTAGGGTTGAGAAGTATGCCAGGAGAACCCAGCCTTGCTTTGCTTCATGCACGCACGCGATACCGCCTGCAGCGAGGACTTCTGGAAACTACACATGCACGCAGTGTGTTATGTAAGAGCCTATATGGGAGCGGAAACCCAAAACCCTATTTGTACACCCTTCTGAATCCCTAGACACAAAAGTGTTCCATGACAGAACAAGAAACGAGCCGGATTCGTTTTCTTGCCAGCAAGTCTCACGCATCAAGCTGTGCCATGACCGTCGTCCATCGCATGTCGCTCTCCAGGACCGGCAGAGATGTTTCCCTGCCATGGCGTTTGCAGCCGCAGACTCGGACTTGGCTGGTCACAGAAAAAAGAGTGCGCGCAAGCGCCCTGGTGATGTTGACGTAGCTGTCCGAGTTTGTCGCAGACGCGGCGTCAAGCCCGGTGCCTGTGCTCATCTACTGGACGCGCTGGATGGTGTAGGCGACCCCGAAGAGTACGTGCGCAGTCGCAAAGAGCTCAGCAACAAATCCTTGAGGGAGAGACGCTCCTGGCTGAAGCAGAATGCTGTTGAGCTTGCTTTGCCTTTAGCGACTGGCAAGACGTTCAAGTGGTCGACTCTGTCTCCTTCCAAGGTGCTGCAGCTCATGAGCGACAGCTGCACTAGTCAGCAAGCCATGCTCTCCAAGACTCTGCCACCTGCCGGCGGCCCGACTCCAGTATTATTTTACACCGACGAGATCGTCCCTGGCAACCCGTTGCAGCCGGATGTTGCTCGCAAGCATTACTGCTTCTACGTGGCCTTGCACACGACCAGGCTCCACGTCCAGCACTGCCACGCCTGGTACATGGTGGCAGCTCTGCGAACCAAAGTGATCGGCCAGGTTGCTGGTGGCCTCAGTGCTTGCACGCGTATCCTTCTGGAGTCCTGGCAGCGTGACTTTCAGGGCGTCGTGCTGCGGCTCAGCCCCACGGACTCGCGTCTGTTTCAGCTACGCCTGCATGGCCTGATTGCAGACGAGGCTGCCATTGCGTCCACGCTTGGCACGAAGTCAGCAAGCGGCAGGAAACCGTGTCATCTTTGCATGAACTTGCTGAACCACAGCGCTCTGGACCGTGCGCCGCACGCGGAAGGCGACAGATGGCGCACGCTCATGGATGGCGACATACGTGTCTTCGAGCAAACCAGCAATGCTCAAGTCTGGCATGCTGTAGACGAGCTGCGCCGCCAGCAGCCTCTTCTGTCCGCCGCGGCCTTCGCTGAGTTGGAGAAGAATCTCGGGTTCAGGTGGGAGCCTCATGGTGTCCTGGCCAGCCCTGCTTTGAGAGCACACTTGCCACCCAGGAACTGCATATACGATGTGCTACACAACTTTTTCTGCGGCGGCATCGTTTCCGAAGAGGTCGCCCTGTTCACAGGCCGCCTGGAGAGCCGGGGGCTGCGCCGCACTGACTTGCGCGGCATGCTGCAGAACGCGCAGATCCTGAGCCGGCATGAAGGCTCCAGTCTACACGGCTTGCTCCGGAACCTCTCCACTCCTTTCTTCGCCGCCAAAAATTGGAAAGCCCAAGGGTCCACACAGAGGGCGTTGCTCCCCCTGCTTCACTTCTGGTGCTGCACCTACACGGGGCCGGTCAAAGAAGCTCTTGCCCAAGAGTTTGCTTGCTTTGAGCTGCTCTGCAGACGAGTCGCTGTCCTGGTACAACTTCAGTTCTGCCAGCAGGAGTGGCTCCTCCAAGACCTGATGCGCTTGCAAGCCCAGCACCACGACAAGTTCTTGGCCACCTATGGCCACAGTGCTTGCAAGCCGAAGCACCATTACGCCCTTCATCAAAAAGGACAATGCGCACAGTTCAGCCTTACCCTATACCTACCTGAATCTCTAGCACTCCCTGGAGGAAATCCCTCATTGTACATGGCCTATAGCACCCTGGTAACACATCTCACACCCCTATACTGTGTGGCCCAGTCTCCTGCGCAGGACAGTTCGAGCGAAGTCGTGCTGTGGTAGACACAATGTGTTGCGAACGCAAACACCAAGAGGCCAAGAGGATCGTCGAGATCGACATGAATGGAAGCTGCGAGTCCTTCGAGGCCATGCTGTTGTCCCGAATGTTCTTCTGCGATGTGGAGGAGCAGCGACAGCTTCCGCCAGACTGGCACACCTACCGTCTGGAGCACCGCCAGCAGGGTGGTCGCAGGTCGCCCGTGCTTCGCTCGCCTTGGCAGTTGCTTCGTGTGGGGCAGCCACTGGTGTTTTGCTTGCAAGCAAATTATCGCTGTGGTGTTATATCGGACATATACAAGGGGTCCGACACCTTCTGCTTGGAGATTCGATGCTTTCGAACACAGACAGTCATCAGCACTGCGATACTGCAGTGGATGCAGACGTCAGACAAAGAAACGGTCTGCGTCTCGGATGGCCCTCAAATGTGGTGGGCCAGTGCGTACTGGAAGCTGAACGACGCCGGGTCGTTGCTGACGATGTGGTGAGAAAGAGCTTTCCTGCCGTCCGCTGCGCACGGCGGCTGCTGCCGCTATATACCTTCTTAAGCGCATGCTCTCTGCTTCTCTGATGTCCTTGCAATGAGACTAGACAAACCTAGGGCGGTTGCAATCGCTACCACGATGACATGTCCGGGAAATGGCGGCTGCCGTCGCTTTGGCAACTTGTCCTTCCACACTCTACACAAACCAACCTATAGGGCGGTTGCAATCGCTACAACGATGACATGTCCGGAGGTTGGCGGCTGCCGTCGCTTTGGCAACTTGTCCTTCCACACCATATATCGGAAACTTGTCAAAGGACAGCTTTCCCGCGCTGATACCTCCTGACATGATGTTGTTCCAGTTTGGGATGCTGCCTGTCCTTCACTTTGACATATTGAAAGACGCCTCTGAAAAACAGACAAAAAAAGATAAAAAAAGATAGCGGAAGATACAAAAAGATACTAACTTCTTGCATCATCTTCTAAGTCACTTCTATGTTCCCTAAATGTGTACAGCTTTTTCCTATGTGCTGCAACTTTGCTATGTTGCCTTAGAGCCCCTTCGTAGGGTTTAGGGTTTAGGATTTAGGGTTTAGGGGTTTAGGGGTTTAGGGTTTAGGGTTGAGGGTTTAGGGTTTAGGGTTTAGGGCTACAAGGGTGTAGGGTTCTAGGGCTGGAATGTTCAGGGTTTAGGGTTTAGGGTTTTCGGGTGTAGGATTAGGGTTCAGGGCTCAGGGTTTACATAGGGTTAGGGGTGGAGGGCAGCGTCTTTGGGCTTAGCAGGGTAGGGTTTGGGGGCTGAAGACAATGTAGGAGTTCACTGGGAGGCAGAAGCGGACCACAAGGGTTCATGCATTGAGTCTTTAAGGCTTCGAGGGGTGGGCACTACAGTAAACCTCGCAACTGCCTCTAGAATTCGGCTTTGGATGGTGACTTTCGGTGCTTGTGACAGACTGATATAAGCCCTGTAAAGCCTGTAAGCCATAAGCCCTACAAAACCTTTGAACTCCCTCTCTCTCTACTTATCTTTTATCTCTCCTTTTTTAAACATTTGTTGTCTCTGCTTTTTTGTTTGTTCTGTCTCTGTCTCTCTGTCTGAGCTCCCGTGCTCATTGAGGGCATGGAGGGCATGGAAGGCATGCCCATGGGCATGGGCGTCGGTCCTGCTTTGAGCACAGGGTACAAAACCCAAAACAGATCAAAACCCCAAACCCCAAAACTCTTAGGAGTTTTCTTGGTCAGTTAGTAAGTATTCGCCCTTCCATGAGGACCCCCTATATACACCTTATATACCCTCAAAAACGCGAGGGCCCGCACTTCACAAACCCTTCAAAAAGGCAGGGAGCCGCATTAAGGGCCCCAAACCTAAACCCTAAACCCCAAACCCTAAACCCCTAAGCCCCTACACCCCAACACCCCTAAACCCCTAACACCCCTAAACCCTAAACCCTACACCCCTAAACCCTAAACCCTAAACCTAAACCCCTAAAGCCCTAAGCCCCAAATCCAAAACCCTAAGCGGGCAGCTTCCTGGACCCCCTGCGCTCTGCAAGACCTCAGGGCGGACCCAGTGTGTTCGGGGTTTAGGGTTTAGGGTTTAGGGGTTTAGGGGTTTAGGAGCTTAGGGGTTTAGGGGTTTAGGGGTTTAGGGGTTTAGGGGCTTAGGGGCTTAGGGGTTTAGGGGTTTAAGGGTTTAGGGGGGTTTAGGGGTTTAGGGGTTTAGGGGCTTAGGGGTTTAGGGGTTTAGGGGTTTTAGGGGCTTAGGGGTTTAGGGGTTTAGGGGTTTAGGGGGGTTTAGGGGGGTTTTAGGGGTTTAGGGGCTTAGGGGTTTAGGGGGTTTAGGGGTTTAAGGGTTTAGGGGGGTTTAGGGGTTTAGGGGTTTAGGGGCTTAGGGGTTTAGGGGTTTAGGGGTTTAGGGGTTTAGGGGTTTAGGGGTTTAGGGGTTTAGGGGTTTAGGGGGCTAGGGGGCTAGGGGGTTTAGGGCTATAGGGTTGATCTTAGAGTTCATAGGGTTTATATCAGGGTTTGTAGGGGTCATATTGGGGTTTGTAGGGTTCATATTAGGGTTATAGGGTTCAGGGCGTTCAGTGTGTTAGGGGGTTCAGGGCGTTCGGTGTTGTGGGTTTAGGGCTTAAACTAGGTTTGGGGTCTAGGGTTTAGGACTTAGGGTCTAGGGTTGTGGGTTCTGGCCTAAACCCCTAAGCCCCTAAACCCCAGAACCCTCAAGACCCCTAAACCCTCAAGCATATCAGTAAGACTGCTCAGGGAAGGGGGGGGGGGTGATTGATCTGGGATGATGTGGAGCCCTAATCCGCCCCCCCCCCCCCCCTCCCCCCCCAAAAAAACAAAAAGGGTTAAGGGCTTAGGGTTTAGTGTTTCCCCACAACAAACATACGAACTTCAAAATGCAAAATGCAAAAGCATCAACACTAAAACACAATACACATGCAACACAAGTATCAACCTACCAAATATTGCTGTGTATATATATATATATATATATGTATACATATACCCGTTTGGATTACGCAACCTATATTCTGTTTGTATCAACTGCATACCGTGCGTCTACACATAAATGACTACTGAAATTGTAAATATGCGTAGCACTACATGCAGTTTTCATCTTCATCTAATAGACCCTTAGATTGATTCAGCGCAGTGGCGAGGGTTTAGGGACAATGAAAGTATACACATGTAAAAAGACGAATTAGCTAACCCAATCTTTAAAAATCTGTATAAAATATGTATAACATATGTGTATATATATATATATAATATGTATATATATATGTATATGTATATGTGTACATTTATGTAGTATCACAAGGGTTTGGAGCATGGAAACCTGTCGTAGCGAAAAAAGAAGCTGTTCCAAGGCCGCCGCGACGACGTCACGCGCCTTTGATGTGCAAACTCGTGCAGACAAGTTATAGAGTCGTTTTTATATGTACATACATCTGTATATGCAAAAAAAATATGTATAAATATATATGTATGTATGTACGTATATGTATATATATATATATACATATGAAGTGTTTGTGTTATCAATCTTCTTCTGAATGTTAGTATTATGAATATGGATATCTCCACTATAGTTACTATTGCTATGCTTATTTTTATGATTATTTCTACTGCTATTATTGATCGAACTATGATTACTACTACTATTACTCGGGTATTCTTATTACTATTCTTATTGCTCGTCTGATTTTTGATGTTGCATGTGTATATATATATACATATATATATATATATCCTATACTCAGTACCTAGTTTGGGAAGACTGAAGTTTTGCTGATCTGCATTGAAGCTGCGGGGTTTAGAGCCGCAGGCTTTGGTTTGGGGTGCAGGGTAGAGAGCTGTGGCCGAGTTGCTTCAAGGTGTAAGGTTTATGGGCTTTTGGCGAGAAACCCTTCGCCCAGTAAAGTGTCAGGGTTTAGGGTTTAGGGTCTTCTCAGGTTCCAGAAACCTAGCCCCTAGGAATCCAAAATTCCCGAAACCCTCCAAGAAAAAGCCCTCCGCCCAAAGAAAGCCTAGCCCTGGCTGCAACCCCAGACATTGGTACCAGAATCCCCTGAAGTTCGGGCGCGGGTTTAGGGTGCAGGGGTTTAAGGGTTGAGGGGCCTGGGGTTCACTGTTTAGGGGTTCGGGGTTGAGGGGTTCAGGGTTTTGGGGGTCTAGGAGATTCGGGTTGAGGGTTACTAGACACGGGAGTAACCCAGGAATAAAAAGGGTACCCTTTTGTCTTTAAAGGGGCTTACTTAGAAGGGAACCGAAGCCCCAAAGAAAGGGAATAAGGGCCTACTCTGGGTCCTAGGTTGTAGGGTATACTCGGAGGTCCATGAAGGTCCAGCCACTGCGGCATGTCCTAAAGGTCCATCCTGAGTCTCTCCGGACTGCTAGTTCTCAGCTTTGGGGCGAAGATCATCGTATACAACAGGGTTTAGGGATCAGGATCTGGGGTTTAGGGTTTAGGGTTTAGGGTTTAGGGTTTAGGGTTTAGGGTTTAGGGTTTAGGGTTTAGGGTTTAGGGTTTAGGGTTTAGAGTTTCGGGTTTTGGGCTTGGGAGGTCTCGGGTACAAGGTTGTTGAACGATGTTGAGCCCAAAAGGACAAAGACTTGCAGCCTCGAAGAAAGCACGAAACACCCTAAACCCTAAACCCTACACCCTAAACCCTATAACCCTAAACAAAATAACCCTAAACCCTAAACCCGGCACCTGCATCTTGCCATCCTGCATGGCCACGGCCGTGAATCGCACCTGGTATGGATCCTACACCCAGTTTACGGTTTAGGGTCTAGGGTTTAGGGTTTAGGGTTAAGGGTTACCCATAAATTCTGGTTCCTATGCGGTACGCCAAACAAAGAGGGTCGCACGAAAGACCAGGGGAACCCTCCAAACTCTGAACCTTGAATCCCAAAAGCAGTTTCCTGACTGAGTTCTTGACTCTTCCCTCAAACCCAAAAGCTTCAAATCCTAAACCTTGCAAGGCCCCAAACCGAACTTTAAACGTTA